TTTTTTGCAACTTGTTTCCTTAATGGAAGCCATGTTTGTCTTGTTTTATCTTTTTAAAAAGCCCTAAATTATGTACTGTTAACTAGTGATGTATATGTAGGGAGCTTGTTTCCTTAATGGAAGCCATAATTGTCTTGTTTTATCTTTTTCAAACTCCAGAATTGTGTATTATTAACCTGTGATGTATATGCCAGCAACTTGTTTTCTTAATGGAAGCCATAATTGTCTTGTTTTATCTTTTTAAAAGCCCTGAATTATGTACTGTTAACCAGTGATGTATATGCAAGCATCCCAGGTATAGCTGAGTAAAAAAAATGGGCCTTTCTATAGTGTCGATGAAACTTAACTAACCAATCTGAAGAGGGTTGGAATTACATGCGTGGCTCACACCTTTGTTTTGTTGGAATTTAGCAACACTATCCAAGGGATAACGAAGAGGTTCATTATACTCAAATAAGGCCAAATAAAAAAAATTATTGTGTTGGCCACACCCGACTGACCCAAAATGTACGAAATTGAGGTTCGGCATTTTAGTTTTTTTAGTTTTTTGACATAAACACATTTTTGGTTTAAAAAAAAAAATCCTACCGACCTACCCATTTTTGGGATTTTCCCAAAACGTGGCTAACACAAGAATTTTTTTTCTTGGCCTCACGAATTGGAAGCAATTGGAAGCAATACAGCATTTACATCTAGGGCTCTCAACCTCTTGCTGTGCTTTCAGTTGTTTTTTAAGCAAAATACAGTCTACAGGTTTCTGTATTTTGACTAATTGAATTGTATATCAACAATAATCCTATATACTGTACGTCCATAGTGATTCAGAATATGATTGTATCTGCTGGAGCGATCAAAAGCTATACTCCACTCACTAGATAATTAGTCTAATTTAATTTGATTCAGTTCACATTTATAAACATTAAAAAAGATTAAACTTCAAAATGATCAATATTAATAGAAAATATATCAACAAGCATATTAAATGGTAATCAGAGGAAATCCCAGGACATGCGACTCCATAACTTGAGTCATACTGTTGTGGTAATCAGATTTTCAAAGAAAAATTTACACCAGCTTTTTTGCTTATTAAAGTCATATACATGTACAATTAATTCAATGCATGTCCAAAATTCTTATCAAGGAGGAATTTATATTTAGCTTAGGCATACAATATATGCTTAATTTAGGGGTTTTCTTTTGTTTCATATTTTTTTTAGAGTATACGCTGGACGAAAGGGTTATCAATATCAGCGTGTTTATGGGTACGGTGTGCAGCTTTATTGCAGTTATTACTACTCTATGTGCAAAAGGACAATAATCAATGATGAAGAGATATAGGTTGCTACTTGCAAATTCATGTTTGGGTCTTTATGAGGAGCAACTAGTACTGCTGAAAAGAGGGACAAAATTGGGGGTGGGGGAACTCTTTGAAAAATGTCACCTATTTTGGACACTGACTGGCTTACTTAAATATCTAAAATACCTTTTGAGGGTCTTGACCCTGCTAGGGCCTCTAGATGACCCAAGACCTTTTCTGTTCAGGCTCTGTTGCCTACAAGTGTGATGAAAAATATCTATTTGGCCTCAGATACTCATTTAAATAATAAATACCTAAACAACCCCGACCCCTGCATCTCAACCATTCCCCCATTTTAGCTCCCAAACACTATTTAGCTCCCAAATACCTTTTGAGGGTCTTGACCCTGCTAGGGCCTCTAGATGACCCAAGACCTTTTCTGTTCAGGCTCTGTTGCCTACAAGTCTTAAATATCTAAAATACCTTTTGAGGGTCTTGACCCTGCTAGGGCCTCTAGATGACCCAAGACCTTTTCTGTTCAGGCTCTGTTGCCTACAAGTCTGATGAAAAATATCTATTTGGCTTCAGATACTCATTTAAATAATAAATACCTAAACAACCCCCGACCCCTGCATCTCAACCATTCCCCCATTTTAGCTCCCAAACACTATTATTTGGAGAGGGACTGTCAGCCTTGCTGGGTCTCTCTCAGAAACCCTTTGGACAGCAGGTGAGTGGATAGCATAGATTTGATAAGCTTCTGGTTTGTAGAGGCAATAAGCCAGCTAGACAAGAATTGAGCTACTGTATGTTGAAAAGCAACCAAGTAGACTATAAATGGGTTTCTGGAAAATTACCTATTGTGTCAAAAGTAAAATATTGATAGTAATTGTTATTGTCGTGATGGAATAATAGACAATAACTGGATTTGCGTCAGGAGAAACATGTATAGGTGTAATTTTTGCCCTACCTGACGTGGAAAACTTGGACTCGAATTCAACCCTGGCCATCAGGCGCAAGCTCGGTGGTCTAGAGGTATGATGCCAGGCTAGTGATCTGGAGATCGTGGGTTCGAGTCCCACCCGAGAACAACTTGCGATTTTTTTCGCAGTTGTTTTCAAATGTACTGAGTATTCGGTACATTTCCACGTCAGGTAGGGCAAAAATTACACCTATACAAGTAAAATATTATTTGTACATATTTTTAGCCATCGAGGTAAAGTTGCATGTTATTTTTGTGTGATTCAATGTAGTTTTTATTAGTTAACTCCGCTCTAAGTGGCCCGATTTAAATTGCTGCTTTCAAGATGAGCTCAGCTCAGCTGTTCCCGTGGGAATGACACGCTTATCCATCTTTGATTACATCACTAACATCCTGAATGACGTAAGGGAGATTAATATGCTAGGGGTGCTTAGCTGGAACTGAATCCTGGGACAGGAAAGAGCATTATCACGATTATCATGCAATGTGATCATTCTATGCTACTGCTATTTTTAGACTTTGATTCAACAATTGAAAGCACATATTTCTATGATTTGATATGATTTACTAAGATGAGCACGTTGTTGCTTAGAAGATTCCAACAATGTCTCATTTAAGGAAAAAACAAAAGAAAAAGTATACTTTAACCTTGTTGAAATAATTTTGAGATGTTGACAAATCAAAAATTTGATTTAATGATGTTATTTATACTGTAATTGAATATAGTTTAAAAAAGTAAGTTTTACATAATTTTCTAGATTTAGCATATTCGCTTCCAGCGACATGAGTATACATCCGACAGGGTTCATTCAAGGAGCCAGGACATGTGTTCATCTCCACAAGTGTCTTAAAACATGCCACTATTTTATTGCACTTCGCTGGGAGTGGTAGGCAGAGCATGAACTTTCACCCTGGAGGAGGTTCAGGGAAGAGCCTAGAACTAACAATCTAAAAATAAATACAGTACAGTATGTTTGTTGGTGTTTCTTTACAATTGATGGGAATGATTTTTATTATGGTGGTGCCCTCTTATGCCTTTGCGTATGGGATGAAACTAGGAAAAAAAAGCTTGGCATATAATGATTCAGTTCACTGATTGTCAACTATGTCAGGCAGGTGGGAATGATTGATTCTTCCAACTAGCTTATGCACTCCCCTCCATCAGGCCTCTAATAGTCTCTCAGTCAACCCCCTCCCAATCAGGACCCCCATCCAAATCATCCCACTTCCCTAACCATCTCCATGCCTATGCATATGGTTTTTTTTTGGCAGTTTTACTTGCTTTGAATGTAAAAGAATGTATTAAAATTAAGTAAATGAAGTTGAATTTAAGAAGGGACAATTACAAAGAACTATGAAATTAACCATAGGCAGCGGCACAGTTTGAGTGTTGAGTGTGCCCGGTAAGCACTTGCGAATGGAGTGACCCGAGGTTGAGGTCTAGGAGGCTGAAGAACCTTGAAAAATTAACGCTTTTTTACGTTCTGGGAGAATTTTTATAATCTCTGAGCTAATGCCTTTCAAAGAAAATCGGCAACTACAATGAAATAAACCTTAACAGCCCCAGTTACCATTACATACAGCTGAACTCTCCTCCATTGGAGCAGCAGATACATACATCTCCCCACACCCTCCCATTAAAACACAATTTCCTTGATTAGTACAGCCTTACCCACAACTGTTTCCTTTCAATAGCCAGAACACATGCACACACACCTACGACCCTATTCATTGAAAAAACAAATAGCTTTACTTTGTAATTGGCTGTAATAAGCTATTTCCTCTAATTTTGCAAATGTGTTTTGAAGAGGTGTTTTAGTCATGTGAATCCATCACATGATGTTAATGCTTTATATTAAATCTCTGGAAATGTAATTGCAAAATAGGCAACTGGCTTGTAGTATATTATGGCGATAAGGAAATATTAGGGCATAATATGTATAATAAGCCATCTCCAGGCAGTAGGTGTTTCATAGGTACAATATAGAAAGTTGTAATTTGTTCCTAATTGCACATGATTTTCCCGTGACCAAAAATAAACTCTAAATAAGTATCTTTTCATAATGGGTTCCATTTATAGGTTTGTTTAATGTGGATTATCCTGTTTAACTTCTATCAATATGGTATTACAAAAGATATTATTAAAGAATTAAATCTATTTGTATTTTCTAAAAACTGATGTATAATACTGAAAAATTACTGTTCTCTGAGCTCTCATGTGGTTATATGTATATGATTTTAACTTCATATACATATAGTGTGTAAATGCAGACGGTTGAAAATTTGAAGTAGCCTATCAAAGGATATGAACTTTAATTTCATTGCAGTCCTGTCCAATACAGTGAAGTTAACTTGAAGTGCAATAATATCAAATAATTAATAATATTTCTGATTATATGGCTTCCCTTTGTGACTAACCACCATTAGTACCTACATTTTCTCTGAGCTTTAATTTCAGAAATGTTTAGACGTAGAGGAAATACAAAATTTGTGGGTTGTTAAGTCATTTTAGGACCTTTTGACTGGTGGCGTATGTTTTCTCTCTCGCGTCATCTCATCATCCAATTAGCGTAAATTTCCTATCTCAGCTTTACTGACCCAATGGGGACCCAGCATACTCAAAATCATGTGCGATAAAAAGCTGGCAAGCTAATACTTTCAACATTATAGCCAAGTTTTGTGATATTTAGGCTCATTTTCTTTCTGATCTTTGAATCACAGCTTATGGAATTATTACAGCAAGACGCCAGCCATATATTAAGCTAAGTTATTCTTGTATGTCATGTTACAAGCGCATCAAATCAGAGTTGGCGAAAATGAATGTTTGGATTAGGTAATTTGGAAGTCAGGATTTGTGATAAACCTCACAGGAAAGAATGTTCCATAGGATACTTTTCGAAAGATAGTACAAAAATTTCATTTAACAGTCTCGTAGATGTGCTGATTGGACCACATTTAATATTGTTCAAGAACAGGAAATAAAACATCAAGGCTCTTTATGGAATTTTTATTGCTATTAAGAAGTTGATTATTTAAAAGACATATTTGTGACTAAAACTGACTTTGCTGTTAACAGATCACAAAAGGCAACACAGAAGTTTTCAAACAAAAGTTTGATCCCAGCCACATCATGGATTTAAAAGCAAGGAACTTGATTTGTTATGTTGTCTTTATCATTCAGTTGGTGTCTAGTGAAAGAATTAATAATGTACCGAAGCAGTTTATAAGTGGTATGGAAATATGTGACACGTTTATATCAGCACTGGGCAAATTATGTGACTGCAGCAGACGTTCTTTTCATATTGTTCCCAAAAATGTGCCAGATGATTGTTTTATTCTAGATTTGAGCGGTAACCAGATCAGTAGCATAGAAAGGAACAATTTTGCAAGGTTTGTGCAATTGGAAAAGCTGTATTTAAATTCTAACGTTATTCAGGCGCTACATCCACATGCATTTGATGGTCTGATCAATTTAACAGTCCTTGACCTTGCTACTAACAGGCTTCTGAATATACCTCCGCGAACATTTACGGATACCAGACTTCTACAAATTTTAAACCTGACTGATAACAATCTTAGAGCTCCACCACCCGTTGGACACCTTAAGCGACTTCAGGAGTTGATGATCTCCAAAAATTCATTGAAATTTGTGACCAACACAGCATGGAATGGTTTGGTAACTCTTAGGCTTCTTAACCTATCTTCAAATCATTTATCCATGTTACATGGGGAAACTTTCAAAGGACTTACCTCTTTGGTCATCTTAGACCTTAGTCATAACAACATACAAACCCTAGCTAACGGTGCATTTATAAGTTTGGGCCGCTTGGAGTTGTTAAAGTTGGATAATAACCGCATAAATACAGTGGAGGCTAGTGCATTTCAGGATCTTCATATGCTAACATCATTACACCTGGAACATAATCAGCTGGTCTCCATCCCGTTGAGCTTCCAAAGTGGTCTCCGCAGTCTAAAAAATTTATTCCTACAAGAAAATAAGATAATTGAAATACGAAATGATTTATTTAAATACTTGATTAACCTAAATGTCTTAAACTTGAATAGTAACAGGTTGCAAATAATAGCTGGCCGCTCTTTCTTCCATTTATCTCAACTGGTCACGCTGAACTTAAAAAGCAACCAGATTAATGTTCTGCCTGCAGATGCATTTCTCGGTTTACGTATGCTCAAGGTGCTTGATTTGCGTAATAATCGTTTGAAAGATGTTGGAAATGTCATGCAACACCTGTTGAACTTGGAAACGGCTCTACTGTCTGATAACATGATCTCTTATATTCCAATGGGTACCTTTGATCATTGTGTGCATATCATTGAGATTCGTATAGACCACAATAATTTGACCTATATTCCTGAAGGAATTGGGTATTCCCCCACTGCTTCTCAGACTTTGAAAGGACTGTCATTAGCTGACAACCCGATTAAACAGATTACATCCACAAGTTTTGGCCGTTTTTCATCGTTGCAGTTACTTCGTCTAAGTAATACTCAATTAAGGAGTGTTCCCATCCGGGCTTTTAATCAGATGCCACGGCTAGTCGAGTTGTGGTTGGATGGTAACCAGTTGACTACCCTTGCAAGGGGAACTCTAGTTCCTCTGCCGCGTCTGAAAGCAATCCATCTACAGGGGAACCTGTGGAACTGCCAATGTGGCCTTCGAGATATCTGGTCTTATTTAGATTCAAGAAGTATCTCTTGCGGATCAACTGAAGCCCAACCTGTTTGCTATTCACCGTCTAATTTAGCAGGGCAGACCTTAGAAGTGGCATTATCCGGGAAAGAATGCATAGAAGATGAGAGTACATTCAGTATGATGGAGATTGACATACTAATCCCGATTACCGTTGGTGCGATTGTAATTATGTTCCTAATTGTTGCTTTTATATGCATAGCTGCTGCACAAAAGAAACCTAGTGTGTACTCTAAAGTAATGGTGCCTCCCGATGGACACACAGGAAGGGCAGTGTCATTGCCCTCCTTTGCATCATTGAATTCCATGTCAAGTTCTACTCCACTAACTCTTCCTCCTCGCAATGGTAGCAAAAGATACCACCATCAGGACAGTATATTTCAGGAGTTCAAGTTACAACCAACAAGTTTGGACCGGCAGGGGTCTTACCTATCTATTAACGTACCACTACCGGGTGGAGAGTATGCCAGTCCTTATGCCCAGCCTTGCTCACAACCAAAGGATCACCCCAGTTGGTTTCGGAGTGACTCTGGATCAGATCATAGAGAGGACATTTATTAATGGATATTTGACAATCATTATCGTTTTTGAAGAACTTTGGACATACTGTATATTTAGACTGATGTTCCTCTTGATTATACCAAACTATACTGATTTACAGTATTGTGTTCATCTTCCAGAATTGTTATAATGAGAGTATATTACCTGATGGAAAACCAGGTAACACCTGAATATCATACCATAGATAAAATTTTGAATTTACATGTGGAAATGTATAAATGTAATAAATATTTCTTGTTAATGTATAGATAACTTAATGTAATGTATTGACTAGGTTGTAAAAAATAGCAATAAAAACACTTAAATTTCAAGAGTAAATCATTATCAAATCATCCTATCTTATTTTTTAATTTCCAAAATGAACAATTTGCTTTTTAGCTTTTTATCATTATCGTTGCAAGTATAACCAGGTCTTAAAGCTACTGTAAACAATATTGATAATAATAACCGGACATTTCTGCTAAAATCAAAGCAGTACCAGTGCAGTGTACAAGCGTAGGCTACTATATGTTTTAACACTGTATGTCTAAAAGATAATATATAAATATACTGTTTGTAAAATTCTTTAAAAGAAATAGGAATGTTAAAAGTTTAAAAGCTATGACAGAGAACTACTGTAGCAATTTATAATTTCTTTATAATTTATTGTGTCAAAAAACTTTTCACTTGTTTCTTTGATGTTTCTTAAAAATAGAATGATTAAATGGACCAGTGCTTGTAGCGGAAAAATAAACTTCTACGGTATGGTGGTGACTTGTATTTAGCCTAAAAAACATCTATTTGATTAGTTTTACTTAGTGTATTTTGGTAATTTATTAAATTTCAATTAAAAGCTAATAATGTTTCCAAGTAAGATCTATGAGTAGTATTACTGACCAACATTTTTTTGTAAAGAACCTTAAATTTGCTATTGATTTTTGTAAAACATGTTATTGGAATTTTTAAATTTGTATGAGAAATTTAATTTTAAATTAAAATTTTTGAGATTTATTATTTTTATTTCATATTTGAATAGGCATGAGATGAGGCTATAATTAAAATTATGGACTTATAAAGATGGCAAATATGTAGTAAATCCTTGCCTACCCACAGGGCTCGTAGGACAGGCGCTTAATATATCCAGTTTCAGGTAGCAACAAGCGGAGAAGAGTGTGATGCCTTCTGTGTGTGGGATGCTAGTGCACCGCAGGTTATAACCTGCGGTGCACAGCAATTGGTGGTATACATTGATACAGCTGGGAATAGACTGAAGCAATGTAGATAAAGTGCCTTGCTCAAAGACACAAGTGCAATGCACTGTGAAGGACTGAAACCAAATAGTTTCCACTGCGATAAACAGTTCTACGAAGTTATAGAAAGTATATAATGAGAATGAAACCAAGTCTGTACAAGCCAAAAACAATGTACTTTCCGAATCCTTAACTCTGCCCAATAGCAGTAGCTGAAAGCATAGCTTTGCAATGTTTAAATGTGTTTGATAACATCAGGTTAAGTGATTATGACAGGAAAGTGGGAGAGCTCAGCACTGATCACATGTTATGCAGTGTAGGTGTTTAAAAACTACTACTAGTTTAGAAAATTATACCTTATTTCTGAAACTTCAAACTAAATCAGGATTATAGTCTACAATGAGTTTTAAAAGTAGACATAAAGACTGTACCCAGTGTAATAAATCCACATTAAAAAATATCTTTCGTAGGCATGATATCAGTTAAAATTCTAGTTTAGTTCTGTATCACTTTATTCCATTATTATAAATCTGTTTAAATGTAAGCCTATTTTATTGGGTAATTCAGAGCACTGTAGAAAAAGCCTTGACATACGTTATTTTAAAAATCAAGTTCGTCTCTAAAAATATTTCAAAAAAGCATTTCAGATTTGTAAAAATACCGCCTTGAGATACACCTTGTTTTGATGTTCTTTTGACATGCTTGTTCTTAATTTAATAATAATAATAAATCCTTTATTTTCTTTAATTAATTGACAACAGACTTCATCATAAGCTTCTTGTATTACTATTTTTATTGTAACTTAAGTTATTTTTCAAGAAACCTATATTTTCTATTTTTATATAATTTTTTTATGAGCATTTAATGGTTTAGTTCTTGTGTAATTTTCTTTAATATGAGAATGGTTTAGTTTGTTTGTATGCCTCCATCATGTCTGATGGCTTGTGGCTTTAATAACGACATGCCTAATCTGTAGGTCTGTAGCCAGTTAATATATTCATGAGATGTTGTCTACGGTAACCACAGATTTTTTTTCTGTCAATTCACCTTGACTTCAGGCAGCATGGTCTATGAGCACCGTCAATGTTGCCTTACATTTTTGCTTTTTCCATGCTGGTGTCTTGTTTCTGGCAACATGAGCAAAGTATGACCACATACTGTAATGTATGTAGTACAGTAATTTGATTTTAAATGCCTTATTTTTGCCATTATGTTTATTAATAAAAGTCCTAACCCAGGCCTTTTTTAGCCGCATATGCATGCTCTGAGAACTCCAAGAGATTAGTTGTCGGTTTGTGAAAATGTAAAATCCTTTTTTCTTTATTTGTACACTATGATTAGTCTAATTTCCTAAATAATGAGTTTCAAACTTAACAGTTATAGTGAAAAGGTAGAGTTCGATGTACATAATCAAAATGTCAAAGAAAAAAAATTAAAAATTATTAATTTTGGGTTTGGTGTTTTTGATGTCACTGACGATTTACTCAATAACTAAATTTAAAAAAAATAAACAGCACGTTACATTAGAAATGGTTCCCATTTTATTTTTCTTAAGATATTTTGTATCCTGATCCCATTAATGTGATTTCATCGTCCGTTGTGTCTGCAATGCTTGATATCTTTCCTCTGTAGTCCCTAAAGATATAGTAGACATTTACTAAGTCAGCAGGAAGTGATGTCCTTTGAAGATAACACTGGTCCGACATTTTGCTTGTAATACATTTTTTCAATGCTTAAGCACAGTTTATTTCACTTGATTATTAGTGGCAGTTCTACAGCATATATTCTGTGTACCACTATTCATCCATAACCATAATGACCTCTGCATCAGAGGCGGCATCAAAATTTACCCCATGGGGGGCTAAGCTGTCCTACAGAATCGTTTGAATATTTTCGACAGAGACAAGTGGGGTGGGCGCCCAGGGGCCTCTTTAGTTTTAGCACGTAATTATGCTCTTTTTTTTTTACAAAAATGAAAAAAATATTTTTTATAAATTGTTATTATCTTGTCAATCGCAAAAAAATAAATTGTCAAAGGCACCTGTGAACAATAATTCAGGCTATTTAAAAAGCTTCTGTAAAATAAAAGTAAATTTGAGGACTGATTTTAAAATTGTCGAAATTGGACATACAGCATGGGTTAGAATTATTTAGTGCATACATCAAAATATTGTTACTTACTAAGGCAGTTAAACAAATGCATTTCAGAAGCTGCTAGGAGAATGTTATAAAATAAAGATTTTTTTTAAAAAGATGGTGTGGACACATACTCCTGCAACAATAGAAATAAAAAAGGAAAGCGTAAAATAAAATAACCAAGATGATGAGCAAAATAAACATGGCTCAGGAAAGTAGGAAAGGGACATATAATAATTAACAAAAAAATAATTATTTACAAAAAAAGTTGAAATGTCATGTTGTAGATAAGACAAAGGCATAAGGTTATAAGGAGGATGGTGGTGAGGAGTAGGAGGATAAAAAAGTTTGGCTGGCAATTTATGAACAATTCCTGCTCTTCAAGGATTTGAACCAAAGATCTTGAGATAGGAAGGCGGGTGCCTCAGGGAGGCACTTATCACTAATTACTACCAAGAGGATTGTGGACCACAGTGTTTTGTCAACCTATTAATTTTAAAATTTCTTATAATTTATGAATTCTTCAAGTCAAATTTAAGCATAAATATAGGCGAAGAATTTTGGTTTGGCTGGTTTTCACTGGCGTATGTTCTATTCTAGTCATTTCCTTTTATTTGCTGCGAAGTCCATAAAAATACAGACTTCTATCTGAAAATAATTCCTTATGATCAATTGTTTACTAACCAAGTAGTATGTATTTTGATTAGACTCAGATCGACAATTCTGAACAAGCACACTCTCAAATACTTATATTAATATCAGTGGCAGACCATTGGATAAATTGCAAGGTATGCTAGGGCCTGCTACAGTAGTGAGAAGAGTTAATTAGCATATAATCAAAGACTGCGTCAAAATACGATTTTACAAATGTATATTCTTTTTTATACCCGCATGGTTGTCACAGCATATATTTATTTTAACATTTCAATTTTACAAAAACGAACATAAAAATACAAAACGACACAGCAATACCTGTTAGGATTGCTCAAAAGAGGGCGCTGTCTGTCTGGGAACCGAAGAAACAGATATAACAAAAATATCAAAATAATTATTTGTGAAGCACTTAAAAACTATAAATAAATATCATTATTACAATTGAAATTATCATTTAATATATTGATTAAAACTTGAATATAACTTGATGGAAGCACAGTTTCCTCTCTTCTAAAGGATTACTGTTCCTGTGAGTTTCTTCTATTACCGGTTGAATGAGATTACAGAACGTCTGGTAATACAAATAAGCGACTGGCAACGGAGGTCCCGATTATACAGTTGCTACTGTAGAGAAACAGCGCTTCTGCTTCAGTGTTACATTTGGTATTCTAACGCCACCATGCGGTTGGCAGAATAGGAAATTTTACCATTGTAGAGTATGCTCTCACTTCAACTTCCTCACTGGACACGCAATAGACTGATATTGAAAACCAGCCATGTGGAGTTTCTAAGCAGGTGAGAAGACGATGCGATAGGGTCGAGCAGTTTAGTTTATATCCTAGATACCAAGGCAAAGTACTGTAGGCCAAAAATGGGGGAAAAAACCAAACAATATTAACTTAGCTATTCCAATGAACAGTAGCAATCTACTTGAAAAATTAAGGCTGGCATAGAAGATTGTGACTAAGAAATGTTTAATAAAACGGAGAAAAGGTACAATAATTTTGAGGTTTTTTTTAGTTTTAGCAGGGTATGCACTGCATACGTTGCTTGCCTTGGCAGTCCGCCAATGATTACTATGTATAAACATTCGTTAGACCCAACCTTTTTTCAGCACTTAATACAATTATATTCCCAAAAATAAGCACAGTCTACACTCTACCTCATTGCTTGTACTGTTCTTACATTGAGATTGATCGGTGGATATAAACATAACCAATTATAGACAATGTTTAATGTGTTTAGTGTATTTTTTTTTGTCAAATGAAAAGTTTGTTTTAGCCTCATTTATCAGAGTTTAGTGGTATGTAAAATTTTAAGTTGTAAGTATTGACTCACTACTTGGGAGAAGCTAAGGTTAAAAAAAAGTTTGGCAAATTTACTGTAGTACCACGTACGCAAGTGACAGATTGCATTATGAAGGCTAAAAAAGACTGGCATGTACACTGCACCTGAGTGTCGTCGGCCAATGCTATTCCATAGAGAAGGCTATGTGACATGTGCGCGTAATGGATCATTGTTAATGATGATCTACTTGAGATTGGTCACCGAAAATCAGCAGACGTCATATCGCCAAGCACTCATAGACATCTGAGATGGGTTTGTTTGTATGTCTTTCTTTACTTATGATAAACAAATAAATAATCTTTGATCACTGCAGTTGCATGCACTTACTAAATCTGTAGTGCCTTTTTATGGCATTTCTCACAAAACAGTGTTATTATTTGATTGAAAATACGTCAAATGATTATGCATATTTATTTAATCATGCATATTCTAAACAATCACTTTCTTGTTTAAATACTGCTGACACAAACTGAGTACCAAAAAATATAGAAATGATAAGCAAATAAATAATCCTTTATCACTGCAGTTGCATGCACTTACTAAATCTGTAGTGCCTTTTTATGGCATTTCTCACAAAACAGTATTATTATTTGATTGAAAATACGTCAAATGATTATGCATATTTATTTAATCATGCATATTCTAAACAATCACTTTCTTGTTTAAATACTGCTGACACAAACTGAGTACCAAAAAATATAGAAATGATAAGCAAATAAATAATCCTTTATCACTGCAGTTGCATGCACTTTCTAAATCTGTAGTGCCTTTTTATGGCATTTCTCACAAAACAGTATTATTATTTGATTGAAAATATGTCAAATGATTATGCATATTTATTTAATCATGCATATTCTAAACAATTACTTTCTTGTTTAAATACTGCTGACACAAACTGAGTACTAAAAAATATAGAAATCCTCCATGTTTTATTTGAAGTACACTATTATGATTTCCCTCGATATGATGACTACACCTACTTGTATCACTGAATGATGATCTACTTGAGATTGGTCACCGAAAATCAGCAGACGTCATATCGCCAAGCACTCATAGACATCTGAGATGGGTTTGTTTGTATGTCTTTCTTTACTTATGATAAACAAATAAATAATCTTTGATCACTGCAGTTGCATGCACTTACTAAATCTGTAGTGCCTTTTTATGGCATTTCTCACAAAACAGTATTATTATTTGATTGAAAATAATAAACATAACCAATTATAGACAATGTTTAATGTGTTTAGTGTATTTTTTTTTGTCAAATGAAAAGTTTGTTTTAGCCTCATTTATCAGAGTTTAGTGGTATGTAAAATTTTAAGTTGTAAGTATTGACTCACTACTTGGGAGAAGCTAAGGTTAAAAAAAAGTTTGGCAAATTTACTGTAGTACCACGTACGCAAGTGACAGATTGCATTATGAAGGCTAAAAAAGACTGGCATGTACACTGCACCTGAGTGTCGTCGGCCAATGCTATTCCATAGAGAAGGCTATGTGACATGTGCGCGTAATGGATCATTGTTAATGATGATCTACTTGAGATTGGTCACCGAAAATCAGCAGACGTCATATCGCCAAGCACTCATAGACATCTGAGATGGGTTTGTTTGTATGTCTTTCTTTACTTATGATAAACAAATAAATAATCTTTGATCACTGCAGTTGCATGCACTTACTAAATCATTCTTTCACCTTGACTGATGGATGGTTAGGTAATTGTGGTTTAGTAAAATCTATATGTAAGACCAGACAAAATACTCAAGTGCAGTTCACCGATAGGACACATCTTATCATCAACTCAGTTTGTTGGATTCTATTTATATTTCTCATAGATTTTTTTTGCATACTGTTGCTAATTCTAATCAGTTTATAATTAATTAGTGATGGTTATTAAAAATCACTTCCAGTGAATATTATAAAACACATTACAACAATTTAAATTGATAAAAGGAAAACATTTAGAAAACTCCCTAGGGTAACATTCTTAAAATAAGTGAAAAGAGATGGGGACAGAGATGAAACAGATTACAAAGGAAAGAAGACAGAAAAAGAAAAGAAAGAGGAGACAAAAACATAACATAGAGACAAGTAGAGAAGACAAATACTGTATATCAATCAATCACTCACTCACTCCTTTTATTGCAACTATCATTGGAAAACTGCTGTTGAATTACAGGTAAAAGTTAATCCCATCAAAACAACCACTCAAAGGTTCAATATAAAAACTTACAAAATATGTCAAAAATAATAAAATTATAAATAAACTTTTATTGCGTAGTACTGTAGATAAATTATTATTGAGGATATAAAAAGTTTATTATTGCAACTAAAAAACTATTGGATGATAAATGGAAAAATATATTAATAAATGTTATTCTGACTTTATACCCAATAGCAGAAACTTCACTGTTGTACACATATTTTCTACTTGCTAACATTTTGTCACCGTTTTCTCGAAGAGACACAAACTTCAATTTCGACGAAACAACGTTTTGAGAAAAACAAATTCGTAAATTTCACTATCAAGATAATGGAATTTTGAATATTTTTTTACATATGTTTAAAGATAAAGCATTAAACAATCCAAATGTGTAATTTATTTTTCTTTTCTTAACTTTAATCAACCTGTTAATTACCGTGAAAAGTTTGTGTCTGTTTGTTAAAACGATCAGAATAAACACAGCATATGTTGTTTATACGTAGAATGAAGTTTGTGTCTCTTCGTGAAAACGGTACGCGCTGTACGCGCACCCGTTGTTCAGGCACAAACTGTATTTTAGCTATGTGTTAACCATTTAGCCCTAGCCAAGCTAGGCCTTACCTAGCAATCACAGTGATTGCAACGTCGGACGCACGTCTTTTAATAACCCAATGAAAGTTTGTGTCTGTTCGTGAAAACGAAAAATCAATTTTTCTCGGTTTGTGCGTGATGGCTAATTAGCTAATTACTGTAGTTCCACTCTTAAAAATTAAATGAAAAGGAAAAGTTTGATGTACATAATCAAAATATCAAAGGAAAAAAAAATTTTAAAAATATGATTTTTGAAGTTTGTGTCACTTCATGAAAATGGTGACGATTTGTATAATTTTTTTTTTCATGCTACTGCAGAAAAGCTGTTTTTGTTCTACAGTATTTTTCTTTCTCTTATCCTACATATTTTTTGCGCATTTTTTTCTCTGCAACTCTTCTGTCAGGCCATGCTTGAATCTTAAGTCATTGTTGAAGAAAAGCCCATAGCATAGGTGCGACTACTGATAAAAAAATTATGTTACCTCAAATGGAACGACAGTTTATTTTGACAATAAGAATATTTGTATCGTACCATATTATGTATTAAGGGCCACCAAGAGGGGAAACTGTAACGGAAAATAATTTTCAGGGGCCCTTTATTAGGGGACCCATGCCATTATTGAGGGCCTATGATAGTAATTGTACATCTCTTAATTCCAGTGGCATATATGAGTCTTGAAATGGAGGGTGGGGCTAATGGGGGTCAGCATGATATTTTTGCTTTCGTACATTTTTAATAGAGTCTTGACTGGAGGTAGGGGGAAAGCTTTTTGTAGGAGGGATTGCCCCCATTAGCTCTAATAGAACTAGATTATTGCTAACCTGTGTAAGGTATCATTACCATACACACTTTTTGACAATAATTCTGTGTTGCGCTACATTTTCAGTGAAATGATGCATTTACTTGCATACACATATCCATTTTACACCTAATAGTACACAAAAATGCCTCACTCGAACATTCACATCTCTAGAATAAAGATCTTAAAAGAATGCCCCAGGACAATAAATGCCAGAGGTCATTTATTGAAATATGGTCTAATCATTGATCTGTAACTCCCCAAAATGCTTATTGTTCAATATTATTTAAGCATTTGGGTACTGAAAAAACAATTATCTCATAACTTGCAAAACTAAGCAGTGATTGTTATTATAAATAAAAGCAGTTCATTCCACTTGGCAATAAATACTTCGATAACTTTGATATTTCTGGCTATGACATTACATAGTTTCTACAGATTATATTTCAGTCTACTTTCTTTATTTATTTCTTTAAAACCACAACCAACAGCAAAATAAATTCGCCAATAAAAGGAGGGTTATTAAACAAGAATGCAAATACAAAAACAACAAATTGAAAACGGGAAGAAACATCAAGGAAAAAAAAAAGATCATAAAATGATCAATTACAGTGCACTTAAAAATTTATGCCTAAACTGATTAAACGAATATGAAAATATATCAAGATTATTATCTTGAACTAAAAGGGAATTATATAATTTACTTAATCTACAAAATAAACCATTTTGGATGGCATTAACCCTCCCAAAAGGAACATAAAATGTGAGTTTACTTCTTAACATACGAGATGGGACATTAATAAAGAAACTTTCATATTATCAAGGAATCAAAGAATATTTATTGTCAACAATATACATTTCAGTTGCTGAAACCATGCTAAAGTAAGCAACTAATTGGTTCAACGAACCAGATATTTGAAATAGTGGATGGGAATTTTGCTGTAGGAAGGGATGGATGCAAATATAATGTAGTGCAGTATAGTATATTATAGTATATTTTAATTGTCTATGTAGAAGCTTGGGATGTTAATATTTCCAACAAGCATAGAAATAATGTTAAAGGCTCAATATTAATACACCTCAGCCATTTAAAGTGAATGTAGTATAAACTAATTTCAAAGGTCATGGAAGTACTTTGACTAATATTGTTTCAGAGATATTTTTATTTAATAAGAAAATTGTATTAAAGGAAATGACAAGGAATAAATAGTTGGGTTGTTTATATAGGTATAAACCCAATAGAGTTTCACTATTGTTTTCGTCTTGTTTTACGACAAAGGAAGTTATCAGTGGGTTGTATCCTTATACATGCAATAGTGTCCTTTTTAGGGACAAACCATTATATTCATATGTAGGTTTGGTATAACAGAACAAAACTTTTTTTTATTCATTAAGTTCATTTTCTAAATCATAGTTTTTAAGCAAGCTGATCACCATTTGATAACAATTGGACTATAATTGTAATTTTTGTTGTGATTCCCACAAATTCAGCATCATTAAATTGTAAGTATATTGAGCATTTCTGAGCTACCTGTAAGTTCATAATAGATCTATCCTTCTGTTATTCTATATTTGTATTATTCATTTAACGATTGAAAGAACCTAGAAAATCTGATTTATCATCGTTATATAGGTCTCTTGACTTTCAAATACACCATCAAATTCTGCATGTTTCCTTTTGAATGCTGGATACTATTTATATAGTGCCTACTTCTTGATATTTTTTATAGAACATTCCAAAATCTTGATTTTACAAGTGTGAAAATGCTGTTCAAATATAGCTGTTTAAGATTTTTCTTCATGTTTTTCATCTTTTGGAAGTGGAACTTTGTAAAAGGGATGGGGTTTGAATCCTGTCATTTTAACACTAGCACCAGCTTTGTCATGTGTGATTGCAGTAACCTTGGCCTGACAGGCATCACTGAACCGTTGAGAGCTGATGTTACTGTTCTGATTCTCCGCAACAATAGTTTGCAGACAATTTCTGCAGATGTCTTTGTGGAAGCTAGCAATTTGAGACATCTGGACCTATCGCATAATCAACTAACAAGCATCCAGGAAAATACATTTTCAAATCTACCTAAATTGAGACGGTTGTATTTATCAAACAATTTAATCATCAGTTTTGATTCATCCTCACTTCGAAACTTACAGAATCTTAAAGTTTTGCAGATCAATGACAACCGATTGTCTGCCATTCCAAATTTGAATGATTTAAGTGCTTTGTTAGATCTTCAACTTCAAGGAAATTCATTAAATAGCATTATCGCGACAGATTTTCAAGTTTCACGAAAGCTACAATATCTTGATCTGTCGCGTAATCAAATCCATTCCATTGGAGTCCAGGTTTTTGGAAATATGAATAATTTGGTGCATTTAAACCTGAGTAGAAATCAGCTCAGGACTCTAGATCCAGCAACTTTTGAAAGACAGGTCAGTCTTGAAGGCTTGGACATTGCTTACAATTGTTTAAGAACCTTCAACCTTACAATCTTTAATGGACTAAGCAGTCCAAAAATTAAAGTACTCAATCTTACTGGCAATGACTTGTATTCGCTGCCTTCCAACCTTTTCGAAAGACTGGAGTATCTAACCAACTTACAGGTTGCTGACAACAATATACAGGCATGGAAACAATCTTTTTTTTATTACGCAACCACTTTAGAAGTTCTTAATCTAGCTGGCAATAGCTTAGACAATTTAGACAAAAATATGTTCTCTAGGCAACAAAGACTTCGTGTTCTAAATCTTTCCAGAAACCGAATTGAAGATGTTAAAGAATCACTTTTAGACATTATGACTTTGGAGAGTCTTGATTTAAGTTCCAACAACATAAGGAAGCTGCCTACGAATCTACTTTCTGCTCCTTTGCAACTTAAAGAAATATTTCTGTCTGGAAACCTTTTAAATTCTACACCTGAATTCGCTTTTTACTTAAATCTAGAAATAATAAGATTGGATGAGAACAGGATAACAGGAATGTATAATGGTGACTTTGATAAGTTGAGAATGCTCACTCAACTTGATCTCAGTAAGAACTACATACGTGAAGTGCAAGTCGATGCGTTTAGTGGAGCAACATCACTAACTTCCATCAACCTAAGAAGAAACGAATTACAAACTTTACCAACTGAACTTTTTAGACGCCTCCAACAACTGGTGACCCTTGACTTGAGGGAAAATCTATGGCAGTGTGACTGTGTACTATTTGATTTTCTTCAGTCTCTTCCAAACATGCTTGAGTTAGTTGCCTCCTCCGAAGTCTTGTGTCGAACACCCCCCTCACTTGCCGGTCAACCGATTGATGATAGTGTACGTGAATTGTGTTCAGGTGTAGATACGCAAATAGGCAGGAATGCGCGCACAATTCATGTAATTGCAATTACTGTCACTGTTGTTGTTGTTATTGTTGGTTTCTTCTCAGTTTTATTTCTACGCTTTTGGATCAAACACAAAGGTGAAAAAGACACTTTTCAATTTGGTGTACCATCACAGGCTCAACACCCGACAACTCAAGCACGAACCGGTACCTTACCCTTGCCTCCCAGTTCTGAAGATGATAATGTGCAAAATTCAGAACCCTTTCCTTATTATCTCAGCATTGATACATTAAGACCTGATGCGAAAAATCAGTATGATACAATTCAAAGAATGCCAAACCAAAATATGTTTCATAACAATGGAGTGGACTATGGAACTGATGGGTATTTGTCAGCAAGTGAAATTGGACCATCACATTACACCCCAATGTCAAACATATACTTGCAACCCAAGAAGGTAACAGCCCAGAATGAATCAAAAAAGACTTCTACGATGGCAAATGCTATGCCTAATATTGAAGACACTTATCTCCAAAGAGTACCGTGACAGTATCATCAATCATTTGACTGTTAAGTTATTGAAAACTATTGTCTTTTTTACATAAAGTGTTGGTGGTTCTTTTTATAGTCTATAACAATTGTATTTTCTTTCATAATATGTTCGCCATAAACTGAGATCCCGACACAAGACACTCCATTACGACAAAGCATGAGGCTGCGGTAACCGCTACTCCAGAACCCTCACTTAAGTTTATGCGAAATGGAAGTTTGTTGGATATGTTGGATTGGAGTTATTTTACACAGTATGTTAAAATAAATGATGGCACAATCCACTGATATTTTCGTTGCATCATTTATTTTGGAAGTCTTGTTTTCAGAGGGCTTTCTCAGTTTACAGTGAACATATTTTGAAATAAAATAGAAAGATTAAACAAGAACATACCTGTTTGAATTTTGATCAATATTTTATGAAAAATGGTGAGTGAGATATAAACTGCCCTCCTCAGCCACCCATGTTTAAATACAGCATTTCAAGCAATATTGTGTAAGTTTTAGTTATCGCAATACCTGTAGTGGTATGTCTCTGGATTCGTTGTCTGCGCGTGTGCGTCTGGAACTCACTCACCATTATTCATAAAATAGTGATCAAACTTCAAACAGGTATGTTCTCGTTTAATCTTTCTACTGAAGTGCATGCTGTAATATAGTACAATAAACATGCCAAGTCCAAACTTACTTGGAGCTGATTTTCTTGGAAGAAATATGCTTAAAGTATCTCCAATGAAGAATTGAAAGTTGAGTACTCTTTGAGTCTTCACCATCTTTGATGCTAAACCTTAAGCTTATGACTAGCTAGGTTTTGCTAAATTATGCAATCTGCCATTTTGTGAAGTTTTTCCAGTGCTGGTTTTTATCTCTATCGATTGATTTTGTTATTAAAATGAATGATCAACATTCAATAATTTAATATTAATGATTTTTTTTAATGCGTTAATCTAACAATTGTATAATAATTACCACTAGTTTATTATGCAACTCTACAATATTGCTTATTTGTAAAATAAGTACCTCAATACCATATTTAATACATGCAATAAGTAGATTTCAGTTGTTGTCCCTTCTCAGTACAGTTAATGAATAGTAGAATAATAAGATTGTAAAAAAATATACAAAGCAATATTAAAGCATTTGGATTTAGATATTATTCCTCTTAATAACCAATTTTTTTATCGTTACAATTATTCCATAGCATACTGTAACTCCGCTCTGTACCAGGATACTGTATATTACACAGGCTGTGTATGGGTGATTCCATTATTTTGTTTTATGCTCAAGCGTAAGTTCAGTGAAAAATTTGTTGCGACATTCACCTTGTCCTTTGAATGGTTCTTTCCAAACGTTAATCATCTCTTTCCTAGATTTTTATGTACCATTCCACAATGATCCATTCCATAGTTTTTGTCTATCTTTAACAGATAGACAGACAAGGGTGAATACATAACCTTCTTGGTGGAGGTAATAATATAAATATAATAAACAGGTGGAAAAAAACAAAGAAAATATAAGATGTTGAATAAATTTTGGTTAATTTCTAAATTCTAATACAGGAATCATAATCTTCACTCCGTAAAATCATAGCCAACTACCGTAAAACTGCAAATAGAAGCCCTATGGACTTAATCTTGAGAAGAAGCCCATCTCAAAATGAAACCAGCTCTTTAGTTTGCAAAAGTAATCTCAAAAAGAAGCAGATGTGCTTCTATTCGAGATAGTGTAGGTTTCTTTTCAAGATACCATAAAACCTCGAATTGAAGCCCACTGGGCTTCATCTCGAGATGAAGCCCATCTCGAATTGACGCACCCCTCTTTAGTTTGCAAAATTAGCCTTTAAAAGAAGTCCATCTCGAAAAGAAGCCCATGGCCTTCTTTTCAATATAGCATAGGCTTCTTTTCGAGATAGTACAGTACATACACTGTACATGAATTTCAGAAAAAAAAAAAAAATTGGTTTATACAGTAGTTTAGGTGATTTAATGCCAGTTCAATACACTCCATGATATAGGTTGATGTTACCGTGACCTTATTTATTGTTTTATAGTAGAAATTCACAAAATTTACAGCATTCATTTTGAAAAGAAGTAGAAATCTTTGCATCTTTGCTTTGCAAAAGTAGACTCGAAAAGAAGCCCATCTCAAAAATGAAGCTCATCTCGAAAAGAAGCCCATCCAAAGTTTGAAGAAAAAAAAAAAAAAAAA